GCGTTGTTACTCGGTGTTACTGGGCAGTGTGCGCGTTGTTACTCAGTGTCTCTGGGCTGTGTGTGCTGTGTTACTGGGCAGGCTGTTCTTGAGTAATTTTCAGCAGTAAATCCCTATTGGAGTACTCACAGTGGCGATTCCTGTTGGAGTACTCACAGTGGTAATGTCGAGGAATCTGGTCGTTGATTTGGAGCAGCACAGTTACTCGGTGATCAGCACTGCTGCCTCCCAGCACCAGGGACCCGGATTCGATCCCACCCTCGGGCGCCTGTCTGTGTGGGTTTTCTCCGGGTGCTCCGGTTTCCTCCCACAGTCCAGGGATGTGCAGGTTAGGGTGGATTGGCCGTGCTAAATTGTCCCATAGTGCCCAGGGATGTGCGGGTTAGGGTGGGTTGGCCGTGCTCAATTGTCCCATAGTGCCCAGGGATGTGCGGGTTAGGGTGGGTTGGCCGTGCTAAATTGTCCCGTAGTGCCCAGGGATGTGCGGGTTAGGGTGGATTGGCCGTGCTAAATTGTCCCATAGTGCTCAGGGATGTGCAGGTTAGGGTGGATTGGCCATGCTAAATTGTCCCATAGTGCCCAGGGATGTGCGGGTTAGGGTGGATTGGCCGTGCTAAATTGTCCCGTAGTGCCCAGGGATGTGCAGGTTAGGGTGGGTTAGCCATGGGAAATACTGGGTTACAGGACTCGGATAGGGGCAAGATGGGGGAATGGTGGTGAGTCTGGATGGGATGCTCTTTGGCGGGTTGGTATGGATTTGATGTGCTGAATGGCCTATTTACCCACTTTAGGGATTGTATGAATCTGTGATTTACACATAGTGTTGTCCCACCAACGGTTTGAGCTAACTGAGCTGTCCCTGTATTCTCCTGATGTTAATTGACTGCTATTGAGACTGGACGGCGAGCATCAGGACATTATCTCATTGACATGAGTTCACGAGCAGGGTCACATGTTCACTGACCAGGAGCCTGGGGCTCCGGCTGGTTCCTCCCATTTGACTGTGAAACCACTTGGCATGTTCCAGCTTGTGTTGGGTAAAGATCAGCTGACTCTGCACCTTCTGAAGGTGTGAGCAGAAAATTAATAACCTGTATTTTAGCGGCACGGCTTACAGTTCAAGCACAGTTTGCCGAGGGTGAAATTTGCAGGCTTACCTTTGTGAATGGACGTCCCTATTCTCTGTTGGTGCCCTTCGATCTCATTTAGAAAGGAGCTCTTTGTGAAGCTAGCTTCCTAACAATTGCTCAACTTGTTTTTTTAACCCAGGCCAGTGAATGGCTCAATCATACTTTACAATCGGAAGAAAGTCAAATACCGTAAGGACGGCTACTGCTGGAAGAAGCGGAAAGATGGGAAAACTACGCGAGAGGATCACATGAAGTTAAAGGTTCAGGGGATGGAGGTTTGTGCAGACACATATGGATCACTACCCCTCTGTAATCTCACCGAGCGAGATCCTAGATTCATCTAGATAATGTGGGCATCACTGGCTGGGTCAGCATTTACTGCCAACCCCTCGCTGTTACTCAGTGTCACAGGGCAGTGTGTGTGTCGTTCCTCAATTCATAAACTTCTCTACGCACTCGCATACTTGCACTCAGGGTCTCTCTCACACACACACTCTCTCACGCTCACACTCACTCACTCACACACACACAGACTCACACAGACTCTCACACACACACACTCACACACACATTCTCATGCTCATGTACACACACACAGACACACTCTCATACACACACACACTCACACATTCTCTCACACTCACACACACCCGCTCTCTCTCACACACACACACACACACACATGCTCACACTTGCACTCAGTGTCTCTCTCACGCTCACACTCACTCACTCACACACACACGCTCTCGCTCACACACACACACACTGACTCACACACGCAGACTCACACACTCTCATGCTCACGTGCACACACAGACGCACTCACTCACATTCTCTCACACACACTCTCGCTCACACACACACACACTCTCGCTCACACACAC